ATCAGGCATCAAGAACTATAGATATAATCACGGTTCTTTAATAATAATCTCAATTAGTTTGGAAAGTTTAGTTCCAAATTTCATCAAAGCAGAAATAAGTCAGCACAATCTAAACAAAAACAACATGTTTTTCTACACACAAACATGCTCAGCCTGGAAAATGTATCTTTTTTTTTTTTTTTTCTTTTACAGGATTTAAACAGACCAAACTGACAGGATTCTTGTTCTAAAACTTTATTGTTTTGCTTTGCTAACATCGATTTCAGGGTTAATTCTAGAACTGATTTCATTCGCTGCTATCATCTGTGTCATCAAAATAATCATCATCATCATCGTCATCTGACCAGTCGAATTCACTGAAACCCAAAGCCATGTTGATTTTCTTTCCTTTTCTCATAGAGGTGGTTTTAGAAGAATTCTTTTTGGCTTGCATGTTTATCTGCATTCCAGAATGCAGGACAGATCCTGCTTGATTCAGAGAGAAGATATCCCCAAAGCCCGTCATCATCAAGGCCTTCAGACTTTGGTTCATGCCAGCTACCTCCCCGTTACTTGCTGCTGTGATCTGACATGACATCTCTGCACTGTTTGACTCCTCTGTTTTAGATTCAAAGTAAGACTCCTCAGACATCCTTGCAGCAAGAGGTAAGAAAAACTATTTAAAGGAGGAAAGGACAGAGCAAAAGTGAAAGTTAGAACCAATTTAAAAATCGAGGAAAAAGACACCACCAGATTAGTTGGCAATCAACAGAAAGCACAACGATTAGTGAATCTAAACACAGAGATCAAGTAAGAATTCATTAAACCAGACAGCTTCATTCTGGGGGTCATTGTTCTTAAACGAAAGTGCAAAATCACTGAGTTGCATGGCAAGAACCACAGGTAGCAGAGCTTTCATGACAAAAGAAGGTTCAAACTCTTCAGTCCTTCATTTTGTACAGCGTAAAACAGAATGTCACATTTCCCAGCCAGACAGACTGGCTCCCAAGGCAACGCGGGTACAACAGAAGTCTGAGTGAGTTGCTTAATTGAACCTTTCAGGATTGAAGAATCACGTTAAGATCAGAGAACCCAAACAAGCTCCCAAAGTTTGGTGCAGAAGTAGCAGCCCTCTAAATATCAGAAATAACAGCAGCAGTATTATTTGTGCAAAGACTGGTTTTGACCGTATGCTCAAAAGGAGGGGAAGGGGTCACCCTGCGATGGCCGCAATCAGAAACGAGCCTCTCACCAATGCAAAGGACACAGGAACCAGCCTCCAGCCCGCACCAGCACCTTGCTTCTCTAAGCTGTCCCAGGGAGGAGCAGGCAGGGGAAGAGGGGCTGTTTAGTCGGCCGGTCAGCTTCTTCAGCTTCGTTGCCTTTTTTTGGTTGTGCTTTTTTGTTGTTGGTTTTTTTTTTTGTTTTTTTTAAGTGGTATCAATAGATATCGGCCATTTGGTTGTACATCATATTAAATCTCTACTGATTTAACCTTCACCTACAGATAACGGCGTTTTCCTGACCTAGTCTGTTCGTAACAACAAATGAAATGTGCCCTCTCCAGCTAAATAATGATTAATGCCTCTTCAGAGTGGCCAGGCCAGTAACTTCTGTGACATGCTTGCCTGTTCTCCACAGGGAGTAAAAACTCAGGAGTTTCATCCTAAATTAAACTACCTACTAAAGCAACAGCAAAGGAGCTCTGTGTGAACACCTGAACTGGCCTTTCTTTCCAAAGCTGTCTGCAAAACTACCTGTCCAAAATTCATGGTTTTCCACATCTTGTTTAACCTAGTGAGAAAACTGACTAAAGAGTCAACAGCAGCTGGTCACAATGGGTTACAGGGGTGATTATGGTGATGCCCTGGCCTGTAACACAGGAGGCTTCATATGGCCAGGCTGCTCAAAGTGTGCCCATTTCTTGGCAAAACCGCTTACATTGACAAATTGTCTATCATTAAAAAGGACAATATCTGTCTTTTGTTCCTCTCGAGTTTTCCCTACTTACATAGGCTTTCTATTTGTGTTGTGGTTAACAAAAGTTAGTGATCACAGTTTAAGTAACGAAAATAAAATTAAGAAGTTGAGGAGATGGGGTGCCCTAAATACTCTTCATGCATCCTATGGCTAAGTGATGCAAGAACCTGCAGCTAAGCTTCTGTACACCTGGCTGTACAGGAAAAAACAATTACACCATCACTAGAGCGCTGCTCGAATCAAGGACACCAAAAGCTCCCACTGATAAAGCGAAGGAATATTTCAAAAAGAAGATCTAGCCACAGAAATGAGATGTCCAGCACACACGATTCAGTGCCAGCTAGTTCTTCTGTCAGCTATTGGAGTTTTACTCACTTTAGATCCATCAAAAAGCATTCCCTGACATATCGGAAGAATTCCCTACAAAAATCAACAAAGCCGCAAAACAGCTTTCCGCTAAAACACGTTTCTGGGTCAGTGTTTGTGCAATGCCTGGCAGTGGGTATGCTGCAAATGGGCCGTAACTGTGGCTCATTTTGCGAGTTACAATCACCTGACTTCCTCCATATTTTGCCATCTCGTTATCTGGAGAATTTAGGAGCTCTTTGTGATAGGACCTGCCTTTGGTGTCACACTGCAGATGATAACTATCATGAAGAGACTTTTATAGATGGCTGGGATCCCCAATGTCTGTACAAGCCACTGTTCTTCTTAAATGACCACCCTGCACGTCCATGGCACCATAACTGAATATCAGGATTTCACGTCTTCCTCACTGTCTTCCTCTAAGTATAAACTTCAGCTTAGCTACATATACTCCCTTCTTAAAGTCAGGTCCTCTTTCAAAAGAAGTCTCCCATTTCACTGCAGCTGTGGATATATTTTACTCCTCCAAAAGGCTCCAGATTCCCCTGTGCAAGAGGCTCTTGGAGATCTGCACAAAGGGAATTTGCAGAGATCAGACTCAAAGGTGTTTGTTGTATATGACACAGCAGACACAGGGTCAAAACAAGAGCCAGGAGAACATTACTTTCACAGAAGTGTTTCTAAAGATTGGCTTCATCCTTCTCTCATACTGATGTGTGTAAAGCTACATTTTATTCTTTGGAGAAGGAGCAGCCTGCCACTCATAGCTACCTACCATGCAGGATGGCAGGATGAAGCTTCTACCAACCCTAAACCACTGAAGAATCAAGCGGCAGAGGCAGCTTCCCTGTTCTCCTTTCACTTGGTTTGAGTTTCTCCTCCTGCACATCACTTTAAGAGTATCTGCTGGTCTCTGGTCTTTGCTGCAGAGCAAAATGAAAAAGTGACTGCAAAGCATAGAGCATACCGACAGTACCAGCTAAGACACAAGGCCTAGTGTTGGTTAAGAACCAGGTATGAGGCAAGTGGGCAATACCTAGCAGTATTCTGTATGTTGAGTATTCTGTATGCAATCCTCCAGTTTGACACTGGATTCAATGCTAGGTATTGAAGTTTGACACTGCTGAGCAGACATACCCTGAACCAAGGGAAGGAGAGAGACACTTGACTCCAAGGATTACAGCTTGCAAAGAGAATGCTCAGGGATATTTCAAATGATTTACAGCTATTAATTTAAAATATAGTTGTATTTGTAACCAGTGCCTTGTAGAACTTCATTGGCTATGAAAAAAACAATCCTGCTTGAACAAGCCAATTTTTGCCAGTATGTCAACTTTTTTCCAACAAAAGGGCTTTTTTAAAGCTGTTCCGTGTAACGGTTCACTGAAGAACTATGGAAAAAACAAACCTATATTTCTCTATTAGAAGAAATTGCATTTAAATGCAATAGGAGAGTTGGGTTAATGTTATGCAGAAAGACAGTTCATGCTTAGCACAATAGGCCATAGCACAATGCTTTATTCTTTCAGCAATGCCAGCTCTAAGTGAAAAGTAGAAGTCTTAAGCAAGTACAGGATAAAAAAACCCTAGGGCCTTGCTCGTGAAAAGATTTGCTCATTAAGGCTGCGTCTCATGCTGTGCTCAGGATAGATGATGGCCCACAGCTCAGTTACTGGAAGTTTGCAAGCGTTAAAGCAGGCATATAGATATCTACTCAGAAAATACAGTATCTGCACATAGGAAAACGCTCCTTCTTCGTGATTTCATTACTGCATATTCACAGCTGGAACATGCATGCAACTTCATTCAAACAACAGCAATAAGCTATGCCTTAAAAACAAGTTGTATGTGAATAGGTTTTGCTGGAATCAAGGTTATAAGTAGGATAAAATTGTGCGTAAGAAAAATCATATGGTACTGCAATCTCAATTTGGTATTTGTTTTGGCTAATGCTTTAAAAACAAGTACGTAATGCAGTATTTTTCTTAACAACAATTCTGTTGTTGTATGTCTAGCCATGCACCAACCCTGTGGTCCTCCCTCTGCTAATCAGTAGTCAAAAGCATCGTATTTCGTTAAGAAATTCAAGATAATCCAAGGAAGTTTTTTTGTTCCATTTATTAATAGAAATGTGGCAATCCTAACAGCTAATAACTGGCCAGTACAAGTATGTTAACTATATGAAAAAAGTCCTAAATTAACACTTCAAATTTTGACCCCCTTTTTCACAGAATGGAAATTTGCTGCTTCTCAAAGAACAGAATAAAAAAACCCACATAGGTTTCTCAAGCCTTCTTCTGGAAGAAACAAACAACTGTTACATTTAAGACCAAAACCTGCATCCATTAAAGTCAACAACTTTCTAGGTGAAAAATTAATTTATTGAATGCAATCAACTTTTAAAGCTAAGAACTGTAAGTAAATCAATGAGAAACTACTTAAGTGCCCATGGCACAATAGGAACGACCAGCAATATCTCATATCTAATGTATTAGATGAAATTTTAAAAAATAGTACTTATTTGCAGTGATGTAGTAATATAGACTTTAACTGGCCCAAAGGAACAACTAAAGAAAGCAGGGGCACTATTTCCTTGGTGTGTCTTTAGATTTACATCAACAAAGTTCCAAATACTTTCTGAAGTAAGATGAAAGGTTGAATTATTGTCTACTTACAGGAGTATTGGACTGTTCGGTCAACTTCTGCTCCCACATCCTCAAACGTCGCTCCCGTTCCTTTAGTTCCTGCTCTTTAAAGCTCAGATCACGCTCCAGTTTCTTTAGTCTCTCTAAGGTTGCCTCAATTTCACATCTGCACAGAGACAATTTGTTACGTCTTGTCTTTTCCTGAGAGATATAAATTGTTCATAATTCCCATCTGAATGTTAATTAAACGTGAAAGGCTGAAAAGTACAATACTAACTCAAGCAGTTCATTTAATTACCAAATGTAAAGCCTTTCAGAGCTTTAAGAACTGGCAATGTTTATATTTGAGAATAACCACAATACCTTCAGTTGAAGAAAAACAACATTTAAAACAGTAAAATGCTGTATAATAAAAACATTTTAAAAACTACAATTCTGTCTTTTCCCTCAACATCATGAAACTTGACCTTATCCATAAAAAAACTGCATTAAGAACTGGTAAAGGGACAATCATTAGCATCACAACATGGGCGGTCTAAGAAGCCTGTTTGCCTGGGTTTATAACTTGGCTATAAATATTATTTGGACTTATACTCAAAATACACAGAAGCAGCACTGGAGTGTTTTTCCCACTTACCTTCCTGTTTCTCTAGGTGAAGAAACAAGAATAAGAGCAAGAATATAAATCATTATACGACCCAGTCTTGCAAATGGTTACAAATACAAGCTTCTCAAGTTGGGAATAGTTAATAAAAGGATTTGGTTTACTTTTCTCTGTTTCTCACCATACATGCAAAGGTGTGAAAACTAAGAAAGGCAGGAAGTGAAGGCAGTACTCTAAGAAGCTTCAGATACCATCTTTATTGGGTTGCATTGCCCGCACCTCATCCCTTAACAAAGTGGCTTCCTTTGAAATGCTTTCTGATGGACAGTATCTTTTAAACACATGAACTGCACTGCTCTTTTCCAAGAGTTTAACAAGTTTTGTGGTACAAATGCACGACTGTATACTAGAAGGTACAGAAAAATAATTGTGTCACTAAATTCAGCCACATTTTTTGCTTGTGAGATAACCAAAGAAAAACCTCCGATTTGTATCAGAGCTGGTATTTACATTTAACAAACCATTTCTGTGACTGTTTGGGAGGCTGTGCACTGCCTGCCACCTGTGTCCTGACTTACTTCAACTGTTTCCTATTCACATTGAGGGAACAGTCAATCACAGCATTTCATTTTCCTCCTAGAGAGGGAGCAAGCTCCTAAGGAGACAGAGGTCCTAAAAGAAAGCTCTGAAGATAGCGATTGGGACTCTGCAATGCCAAATCTTCTGCTCAAATTTTCACAACATTTTCCCTTCGTAAACACACTGCAAACAAAATCTACTCCTTCCGATGTTTTCAAAAAGAAAAGAAAAGGACTAACAGAATTAGTTGTTATTGGGGGAGGGGGAGAAAAGATAATTATTTCTTCCTGTAAATCTCCTGTCCTAGCATAGAATGATTAAGCTCTTCTCTAGTATCAACCTAAAGGAGTTCAGGCTCTCAACTGGGGAAAATGCATACCCAAATAGTCTGTTTATGTAAATGAAATAATTTAAATATTCCAAATCTTATAGATTTCTTAAGACATCTCTGTTTGAGAGTAATGCTTACAAAGTACAGTCAAAGTACAGTGAAAGGATTCAGAGCTGGAACAACTAGCAAACTCTACTGCAAACTCTACCACCATGCTTAATTTTACTGCAAAAATCAGCCACCTGGGGCAAGGGCATTTATCACACTTAAATCCTGCTGAGTGAGCTGTTCAATGTGGTGGTCAGAACAAATGCACCTCACAATTATTATGCTTCAGATTTCAAGCAAAATTCTCTCTCGTATTTAGGCATGCAAAGGTCAAGGCTGATCTCTGTGCTGGGTGGAAAGCGGTTCCACATCCTAACAGAGAGACAATAAAGGAACAAAATTAAAAAGCACTGGACAGAAGGTCAAGAAAGTGACTCCTCTCCAAACATTCATTTCCCTATCATAAACTGTTCCTGTCAGGTGCAACATATATTATGCGGGAATTATACTTTGTTGGAAATACAGAGCAATTTGAAGATAGTTGCAAGCACTAGCACTGCTTTTCTTACTTTGTCTCTCAACATCACTGCTACTTATAGGCAAGTCTAATTTTTAAATAAGTAAATAAAGATAAGTAAATAAAGTTCACTTTTAAATAACATTCCACACTAGGAAAGTCCTGGTAACAATAGCTTTCTATATGTCAAAAAGTCTATTTTGTGCTGTAATTACCTCTCTTCATTAGACAGAAATTTCTCTTACAATAAAAGGTCAGTTTGCAGAAACAGTTGCATTCTGAAAAATAATTCCACTGTATAATAAAACTGTGTAATTAAAGGGAAAGCTACTGTACATTGCCCAGTTAATGAGTCTGTCTTCATAAATGAAGCAGCTTGAAACATTATACATGGTAGCGCATGTGGATTTGTTTGCTTCTGTAGTTCTGCGTCTGAGCTTGCTGGCTTTTCTAGAATAATCTCATTCTGTGACATTGAAGAACGTATACTGTATTATTAGAAACTATAATGATAAACACTCACAGATTAAAAAACAATAACTGGCATTTGTTTATATGTCTTGAATTGCTACTGATACACTAATATAAGTATCACTAATAGACTATTTTAATCATCAGAACAGCCGCTCGTGGGGAGAGGATGGAAGAAGAAATGCAGTCAGTATATATGACTAAATGCAGACAAATGTGATCTCTCACTGAACTGGAACATCATTACTTCAACAGTAATTTTTTCCTAGAGTAATAAAAGTGATTTGAGAAAGAGTTCCAAAAAGATCACAGAATATGAACTTAAACATAAGGCAGACCTGTACAACTTAGTTGTAAGACAGTGCCCCTATTCGATTAAATAATAAAAACGTGAAGGGTAGAACAGTTAGGAAATAACATAGTACATTATTTTAAGGAAATGATAGAACAGGCAGATTAAAATGTATTATTAATACAAACATCACGACCAGTATGTATGTGTTGCAAATAAGATCACATTAAAGATAGGTCAAAGTGTCATTTATCTTATCACCTCTGTCTCTCATGTATAGACTCAGTCCACTCTTAGTTTTCACGTCAGCCAGCCAGAGATGTTGAAGACTCTGGTTGCTTGCGGTTACAGATGCATTTTTTGCATGTCTCTATACAAAAAGAACCTCACCTTGCCTTTTTTTAAGAGTGGGAAAAAATGTCATCCAGCTTGTCTGAGCTTTAATTTGCTCTGGTAAGTGCAGTATCTGGATCATTAATTTGGAGGTCCCTCAAAGGAACAAGCATAACCTTTGCTTTTCCCAAGCCCAACCATCTCCAGGGCTCTGATAGCGAGGCTTCATTAAAATTCCCTATTTCTTGGTAACACATCTGATTCTTCCCCTATCGCTGGTTCAACTACCTCTTTGCAAATCACTACGAGATAAAAAAAATATTAAAAAAATAAAGCAGTGAGGAAAAGCAAAGGTTTTTCAATGCAGAAGTTAAAACACATTAAACGTCCACGCAACTGTTCTCAGAAATGGTCTTAGTCTGGTTCAGCTTATCCGTTGGGATCACTGTATGCATACAAGTCTTCCATCTACTTTAACTTGCATATTTTTTGCATACTTTCTGTTAATTTGCCTTAATCTTCATGAGTGTCTCCATACAGATATGGCTTTCGCATCAGGGAAGGCAGCCGTTCAGGTAAGAGAACGTCGCTCTCACTCAGCTTCAGAGCAAGTCCCCACTCGACTCGCGCTCTTTCTGCACTTCGTGTTTTCGTTTTCCCTCAATTTAGAGATCATCTTGGCTTTCAGGCAAATCATGCCCCATCATGAATTAGTATTTTCTCTCTCATATTTCCTTGTCTCCAAGTTATTTATTCTTAAAAAAAAAAAAAAGGCCAAATTTACCTTTAACACAAGTTTCCATGGTAAGAAGTTTTTCCATTACTTCATAGTGCCAAAGAAATTTTCTTTCTACATTGCTTTTCATTAACACCTTGTTAGCCATTCCTCATCTAAGCAACTTAGGTGCATCAGAATAATTTCTTTTTCTAAAGGAATTGGAGTACTTGCTCATCTTTTAAATATATTTACTGTATAGGGGTGTATAAGAAACCCATCACTGGAGGATATTTTTCTTCCAATCCTCCTTCTATTCTGTCTACTAGCAAAACCACAATACAATGTTCACAGTCTGCATAAATAACGGTGGCCACGAAATAAGTTTTTAAATACCCCGCATTTGTCCCAAGCCTTAGAATACGGATTTGGGGAGCAAGAGGGCATACTGATAACATTGTAAAAGCAACACCATGGATAAAATCATTGACAAATGTTTGAGAGCCGGGTACTGGCAAGCGGGAGCACTGACCACAGCGTAACGGGCCGGGCCGGGCCGGTGGGAAACCTCGCAGCGCCGTCCGCAGGGGAGCGGGGCGACGGGGCAGAGCGCCGTCCCCGTTCCGGCCCC